TGATTACCGATTTAAGTTAAATGCACTAAAAAATGTTGACAAGGAAAAATTTCTTTCCATATGCTAAAAATAGATTTTGTTGATGGTACTCATAGACACAAAAATTACATTTAGGGCTATTTGAATTAAGAAGAACTGATTTGTTATTCACATAAACCCAGAACCAGCTCCAGGGCTTGTATGGCCGCACCAAGTCACAGAATTTAGGACCCCCAAAGATTGCATCAGGCGGTAAGATATCCAGCGCCGGTGCCTCAATAAGCCTTAAGTATATGTGGAAATTTATGTATTCAGAATTCTCAAAAAGGCTTAAGTATATTCAGAAATTTATTTATTCAGAATTAGGCCTTAAGCATGTGCAAGAAATAGGCATATGTATAATAAATAACTAAACTAATACAATTCAGACTTAATTATCTCAGTGTGCGATAGGAGCAAGATAACATTTAACAGAACAACTTGTCATTAGTTGCCAAGCTCATGATGTACACTGACTACCAATAAGTATTTGGTCACCTGTGATAGAAAAGAAAAACTAACTTTATTCAAAATCAATAGTTCGTAGAGACTCCACGAGAGGTAATTATAGCGTGGACCCTCCGGGGCATACTTTCCACAAGTCTTTGTATGACAGCTAGTGGTATTTTCTTCCACTCGGCTTGGAGAAGACATAGAAGTTCCTTCACCGATTTTGTACGAGTAGTGCACTCCTGAATTTGGCAATGCAACTCGTCCCAGAGGTTCTCAATAGGGTTCAGGTCTGGACTCTGGGCAGGCCAGTCCATTCGATTAACTCCATTGGCACCATACCATGCCTTGGTTAACGTCAAAACATGACAACTGGCATTGTCGTCCTGAAAGTAACAGGGGTCCAACCCGTAAAACTGCCACAACGTAGGAAGCACATTGTCATCCAAAATAGTGCAGCATGCATCGGAGTTGAGCTTACCATGAATGGGGACCAAGGGTCCCAGTTCATACCAGGAGAAACACCCCCAGACCATAATTCCACCTCCGCCGAACTTGACTGTTGGCACAATGCATTCTGGCAGGACACGTTCTCCAGGTAGACGCCAGACCCAGACCCTGCCATCCGAACGGTAAAGGCTGAATCTTGATTCGTCACTCCAAAGAACTCGTTTCCACTGATCTACGGTCCAATTTCGATGTGTTTTGCACCACATTAACCGAGCAACGAGGTTGGACTTTGTGATCAAAGGCTTATGGGCAGCAGCACGACCATGAAAACCAAGCAGATGTACTGCCTTACGGATGGTATTCATTGAAACAATACTTCCGAATGCCTGTTGAAACTCCTCGCGGATGAGAGCCATCGGTTGGGTGCGGTTCTTCAGAATTTCTCTGGACAGCACTCGTCGGTCTCTATCTCCTAGTTTCTTTGGTCTGCCGACTAGGGGAACATTCCGACAATCACCGCTTACCTTCCACTTCTTAATCACATAGGCCACTGTCGATTTTAGGTACTTCAGATTGCTAGATATGTCCCTTAAGGATCTACAACATTTGTGATACCCGATAATTATACCTTTCTCGAAATCAGAGAGCTCCGAACTGCGAGGAATCTTGCATGGTACTAAAGCCGATGCTGTTTCCTACACGATATATACCGGCGGAGTCCGGGACGTACCTTAGGACCGCAGATATCGTCATTTGCATAGGTGTCCAAATACTTATTGGTAGTCAGTATATATTGAAGGGTAGCTGAATTTGATGATGACAGCCGCTAATTTTAAAGGTTTTCGGATATCACAAAACAAAGATAAAATTTTCCAATTAAAACAGATTTTGTAAAGAAATGTGGAGAAGCGGTAATAAATGAAGATGATATAAAAGAAGTGTTTCATTGTGATGACAATGCTTTTCAATCGTCAATCAATTAATGAATGGCGAAATCTCTAGTATGGTTCTAGATCCAGAAAATACGGCTACCGATATTTCAGAAAGTGAGACAGAAGTTACTGAAAACAAAAAAATTTTGATTGACAAGTTAGTCGGAATTCTCGAAACAGCAGTTACAGGACTTCATCAATGTTATTAAACAAGAGATTATGTCTGTCTACAGAATTATATTATTATTATAACATATATCAGATAAGTATTAGCACAAAAAACGACGCAACTTATACAACTTACATTGAAAGAAATGTTTAATAAGGTAAACAAATAAATATTAAGCTTTTTTTGTAAATTTTGATACCCTTTAGATTATAAATACTTCATTATTTCATAAATAACGATTTAATATTTTTAATTTTATAATTTGTTCATGCCATCTTACTAGATTTAAACTGATAATCTAATATCCGGAAAAATGCCAAGTCCCAACGAGTCCAAATTTCGGACTTGTACTGTAATTGAATTTATTCTTTCAAAACTTGAAAATAAAAATAAATGGTAAAACCCTAGATTATGTGGCAGTGTGGCATGTCTCTGAAAAATTGCCATTTATTTATTGGGTTCTAAAACTACAATGCTATTTCAAAATTAAATGTCACAACTAATTCCAGTGGTAGAATTTCATTTTACTTAATATTTATGAGGTATATTATTAAAATATAAAATATCACTAACTCACTGAGTGCATGACCACCTTTATCCGATCATGAGATTTTTTTGTCTCTTAGTATACATTAGTTCATTAATTAAAATATGTTGCTTTCTCACTTTCTTTAATGATGTAAATATCAACATAATGAATAATATGTTATGGAAACTCAGACTAAAATAATTATACAAATTTAATTTATCTATTTAATTTGGTTTCAATATAAATCTTCACGAGCAGATCCAAAAATGCATGCCACTCAGAAGGTTAAATCAAATCAAAACATATCATTAAAAATTTTATACAGCATTATGCTTCACAATTAAATAAAATGACCATACAGATATAACATATATCAGATAATCATAAAATTAATTTTGTATACAAATATTCTTATACAAGAACTAATTATTTGTTTTAATAATTATATCTTAAAGACACAAAAATGTAATTAACCTTTATTACATATATTCATTTTTCATATATGATGATTTTATAATGAATTACTATTTAGTTATGTGATATAATGATTTTATATTTAATTACTACAGTACAAAGTCCAAAATCTGGATGTCTATTAACCGGAATGATCTAAAATCCGGACCACAAACTTTTTTTTTTTTTTTTGGTATGCTTTACGCATGTGTAATTTTGATTTTTCTTTCCATAATAAAACGTGGAGATTTTCACTTAAAAATTCCAATTCTTAATTTCACTTAGGCACTAAATAAAGTACCTCGTTATGGAAAAACAATCATGTAAGCATAAATTTTGAGATTAACAATTTGGCTCCGTAGCTGTGTATCTGCTTGGCATACATCTCAAACGTTCCGTTCCGTTTACCGCGCTTACCGAAACATTCACCTATTTTATATCCCTGACGGCGACCTGGAGAGTCATTATTTATTACATTTTGCTTTCATCCCACATTTATCAATACATAACAGCTTCAGTAATAACTCATGCAATGATGTCTAAACTTTTTTATATTAGTAATTGAATAACAAGAGTATGACAACCTTTTTATGCTAACATTATGCTTGGCGATGATTATATATTTTTAAATGCTCTAAGAAATGTTGACAAGGAAAAATTCAACAAAAAATCCTTTTCATATGCTAAAAATAGATTTTGTTAATGAAACTCATAGGTCAAAAGATTACATTTAGTGCTATTTTAATTAAGAATAACTGATATGTTATTCACCATAAACCCAGAAGCGGCGGCAGAATATGTCGGCACTGGAAGGCAGAATTTAGGGAAGACAAAATTTTTTGAATTTGGGGAAGCACCGAGTGGCAAAATTAAGGCATGAGAAGTTTTGTACGATTTAGGGAAAGCACTGGGATGCAAAGTTTAGGTGCGGTGAAAATTTAGAGCTTAGGAAGGCGCTTTGTAGCAGAATTTAGAACCCGTAGAAACTACACCATGCATTATTTAGTGCCAGCCCTAAATAAAGCATTAAGTATATGTGGGAGTTTATTTATTCAGGACTCAGATTAGTAAACTAATACAATTCATGCTTAATTCAGTACGTAATAGGAGCAAGACGAAATTTAGCGAAACAACTTAGCTTTCGTCACCAATCTTATGATACACAGCCAATAATTTATCATGGATGCTACTAAGGTAGAGTAAAATTATCTTTACTGATTCTGAGGCATTTCAGTTAATGTAGCGGACTGCCCTGCTCCCTAATCTTTTAGTTTGATCCAGCTTATTATTTTTTTACAGACAATTATTATTACAGCAATTTTATAAAAACTAAGCTTGAACTTTCGATTATGTCGAAAAGAGTTTCCAATTCTGGAGCTGCCAAAGGATCTACAAAGCGAAACCAACTTTCGATGTCAATTAAACAAAAAGTGAAATTGCTGAGAAAAATGGATAAAGGCATCCCTCTCAAAATTATGCACAGAGTATGGCATTAAAAAGTCAACTTTATATGACAAAAGAAAAAGGAACTTTTTGAATTTTTTGTGGAAGCGACTTAAACAACTTACATTGAAAGAAATGTTTAATAAAGTAAACAAATAAATATTAAGATTTTTTCATAAGTTTTGATACCCTTTAGATCATAATTGTTCTTTATTTCATATTTTTAATTGTAAAATTTCTGCATGCCATCTTACCAGATTTAAATTGATGATCTGATATCCGGAAAAATCCCAAATCCGGAATCGCCGAAGTCCGGATTTCAGACTTTGTACTGTACTTCATGTGCCATTATGTTGCACTCCCTATCTAAATCAAATGGGAAAATGCAGTAATGTAACATCTGACATTTAAAAAATTCCTTTATAACCAAGGCCTGATTACGTAAGGTTATGTCTAGAATCCCAGAATTTAGAGGACCCAGATATTAAACTGTAACTCTTCACTTTAATATTTTCTGTCAGGATAAGAAAATGAGCACTAAAACTTTGAAAGGATGTTGTGCCTACAATTTCTAGATTGTTTTATTTTAATCAGTCTCTGGCTATGGCTTGAAATGAATTTACATTAGGTGCCACTTAATGCAATCATTGTAACCAAATGACAATATTAAATAATAAGAAAGAAATGCCCTTCAGTTTAATATAAATATAACCAAAAACAAACAATTAGTTATATATTTACAACATTTATTTAGGAAAATGCAAGTTTGTTTGTAAACTGTTCATAATGTTTATTTGTGAACTATTCATTACATTTTTAGAAATTATTTGATCAATGCAGTACTCCTAATCTTAATACTCAAAGAGCATTCCTCATTAGGAGAGAATATGCCATGGTAAAATTTAAAATTAGGCAAAAAGGCAATTTTATGGACTTATCGTTTTTAAAGTTTTTTTTTTGGTTGTTGTTGGTTTTCGACGAAGAAGAACGATCTTTATCCGATCACCTTTAAAATCAACCGAGTTATTGCAAATTTATATCAAACTTAATGTTACTTCTTTGCTTCAAATTTAACAAAACTGAAACCAAACTCTTCAGCGACTTACACTCACTTGATAACATTTCTCTGTCGCCTGACAAGTTTTATAACCTATTTTGAATTTATTCTGACAGTTTCATCACATTAAGTGAGTTGTTGATCACAATTAGCAACATACTTTTCATGTTTTCGTACACAAACGGGCAAGACTTTGGCAATTCCATAGCATTATCTGATCGATAATATTAACTGTCATCATATTAAACAGCATCTACTGTAGTTATAACTTAACAATATGTTAATGTATAATGTTTAATAACCATATTTTGCATTTAAATGTGTCATACCATCTCCTGATTGATTGGATGGAGGAACCCAAGTTGAATATTCCGAGTTTCCAGTAGCATAGACATCAATATCTAGCTTAACTTTTTTAGAATTATCTTTTCTTTTATGTTTTTCAGAATTCACACTGCTATTATTCCCTGATTTTTGATTCTCTAATATAATTTCATCAGGTTTCTCAGGTCCAATACACTTCTTATTTGAGCCCGATTTATTTCTTTCAGAGTCAGTTTCTGAAGTTTGCCTATCATTTGATACATTAGTCGCAGAATCTTCTTCCACGTTTTTAACAACACACCGTTGAGCTCTTTTATCTTCATTGTTTTTAGCAGAAGGTTTAAGAAGTCCATAATTTGTTAATTTACTGCTTTCCTCAATAGCTGAATGACTTAAGCTAGTGTTTTGCTTTTCACAAAATTCTGACTCATTTTTAGGATCTACATCTTCCATATCACTCTCTACTTCTTCCATATCTTCATTTTTATGCTTAGAAACAAATACTGGTATTTTCTCTTGTTTGACAGTAGGTAAATTCAATTTTGTTTTTAACTTTTTACCAATCATTCCTGGAAATTTATTTGTAATTTCTGGAATTTTTGCAGGCCTCGTAATATCTAATAACTTTTCTAAATGTATCTTTTCTTTTTCAGCCTCAACTAATCTAAACTTTAATTTCCTCCTTTCAATCTTGTCCTTAGGTCCTTGATTTGTTTCAGATAAATTGGACATGTATATATCAAGTAAGTCTTTGTCACCTTCATTATCACCTGTAGATATTTTTACAACAGATTCAGATAGTTTATTACTTATTTCAGCAATTTCTTCAGTAACTGCTTTAAGTTTAGCTTCGATAGTTTCATGAGTCTCCACTTCTTGCTTTTTATCCATTCGTTTGCGAATTTCTCTCTTTTTCTCAATTGTACCAGTTCTATCTAAAAATGTATCTTCATCACTATCATAATAATCATTCTCTTCCCACTTTTTCTTCTTACGTTGCCGACTTTCATGGTGAGACTGACGGAGCAAACCTAAACGATCTAACATTCGACATGCTTCTAATGCACAAGCAACAACTGCTTCTTTCTTCTTACCAGACACAGACGCTTCTACTGGTAAATAATCTCCGGAAGGAGTGTCAACCGGTAACTGAATTCGACAAACAAATGTTCTGTAGCCCTTTTCTTCTACATCATACTCTAGTTCATAGCCTTCTCTTTCAAACCATCCACGTAATGTTTTCTTGGGATCATCTAAGTAAAGTTCTTCATTAGCGGTTGAAAGTGCAAATGGATTTTCAGCCATACCTTCTTCTTCTTCTTCCACAGCATCATCACAAAGACCCCAGTCACAAACATCATCATTTGTTACTGCACTTTCCTCTTTATTCAGAGTCTCCTCCTCTTCCTCAGGACCTTGAAAAATATGCAGTCTGGAGCTTCCACCAAATTTCAAAACATATCCAACTTTTAATTTGTAATAAATTTTCGGCTTAATTTGTTCCTTATTTAAAAATGTTCCATGAGTGCTGTTTAAATCATATAAATAAAATCCCTTCGGATGTGAACTGTCTCCTTTGCAATATTGTAACACAGCATGGTACCTAGAAACTGAAGGATGCTCAAATACAATATCACAAACATCCATTCTACCAAATACCACGACAGAAGTACGGATTTTAAAAGTAGAGACGAGAGTACCATTCTTAATTACCTCAAATTCGTACTCAGGTGGCGGTGTACCACCCCATTCGGGTTCATTATATGGTAACGGGACGCTTTCTTTTGAAGTTTTCTGACTTACTGGGTCGGTATCGCTTGAAGCCGATTCATTAACATTATTTTTCTTTGAAGACAAATTATCACCAGAAAGAGACTGTACAGGATGCGCAGTTGGAACTTTAAATACTTCAGAGAGATTATCTGTTTCAGCCATCTCTTACAAAATAAAATAACACCGTAATTTAAACTTAAAACCAATTTGTATTTACAATTGCTGTTTGCTGCATCAATTCATTTTTCAGCACGAAGGCGAAAAATCAAGTATTATTATGAAAGAAAGAAAGGTTAGTATTAGGACCATCCTGTGTTCAAAGAACAGCCTTGACACGAAATGGTTCAAGGAGATTAGAATAGTCTCCTTGAAATTCTCACCACCAATTCTATTCTAACCTCCTTGAAATGGTTTATGGCTTTTGGAAAATCTAGTTGCGGCTCTCGAACTTTCTTGAATACCAATATGCAACTCTAACTGACATGAAGTTTGGCCATCTCTGCAGCCATATTAGGTTTAATTATGACAGCCATTAATTGATCACTTAGAAAAGTATTTTTTCAGGGATTTTTTTTTATAATTTCATGCATAATTTAACATATAGTAGCCAAAGATACACTTCCTCTAAGGGCGCCATATTTTAACGGAACGCTTCATGCAAATAAACGGCCTTTGGCGACTTGAACATTCGAAAATGATTTGCTATTTTTAGCGACTATAAGCTAGATGGTTGTTTTAATAAAGAATCACATTATTCAAAATAAATGCTACGCAGATTTCAAAATAAATGCTATGCATTTTTTCTCTGAGAAGACTCAGAGACAAAGACTCCTTCTAGAGTATTTTTAATGAGTTTAATATAGCTTTCACGCCAAATTTTATAAGTACGTTAAATGGTGTAAAATGTATTTATTTTTACTTATGCAAATAAAAATGAACTGGTGCTGTGAAAATGAACTAATACAATGCCAAGACCCCGCATGACTTTATCCAATATTTTGCAACTTCCATATGATAGGCGGGGTTTCGCGCACAGCTTGAACGATAGCTTTTATTTTCATTTTCATTCATTGAGATTAATGTAATATTTTCGTGTGATGTTGTTACTTTTGAATGGTTATAAATGGCAAAAATTGTAAGGGTCGAAGGGTATCAACCCGTAAAGAATGCTATAACAGAGTTTTCTAAATCACATCAGTTATTTCTGTTATTTACAGGTGCAGAAGACGCTGAGGGGCGGTCTTGGTGTCCTGATTGTGTTGACGGTACGTTTCTTTAGTTATGATAATTTATTAATTAGTAATAGTTTTGTAGATATAGTAATTTGAATAACTATTATGGTGCCTTTATTTATCAGTCAACCTTATGATCTCTCAAGTTAATTAGAGCATTAAATTACAAGAACATGCCTGTAGCAGATGTGTGCAATCCATGTTTAATGTGGAAATTCATTTTCAAATTAGATAATAATTCCATAGTTCTGTCGAGTTAAGAATTCATAATTTATAATTGGAGCATCTTAATATCAAATCGTAAAAATTAGAGGTTTTTTTTTTTTTTTTTTTTGTGTGTGTGGTGTGTGTGTGTGTCTCTATGAGTTAATTTAGGATGTTACTGGAAAAATTAAATAATTAAAATTGATCTGACACTCAAATCAAAATTTCTGAATATCTTAACTTTCAGATTCACATGAGTCTAGTTATTAATGTATGTGACATCTGTTTAAATCAGGGATTCTTAATCCTTTTCATCTATAGGCCCCCTTTTAAAAGAGTTTTTTTTAATCGATTTTTCTCTACATAATTAATATACAGCACAATCTTAATGCAAATAATTGCACATAATAACTTTAAAATAATGGACTAGAATATGAAGAATAGATTTTTAAAAAAAGGTTTATTTGATTTTATTATTTTTAATTTTAGAAATATAAACAATTATTCATAAACAAAATCACAGATTCTAATTACACAAAAGTTCAGTGTTAATTAACATGATAGTTGCACTCGATGTATTGATGCAGTTTTTTAAGATTTGGCCTAAAATTGCTTAATTCTTAAATTACCTCATCCAAAAATATTCAACTTTATTGTTTTCTGTAGTAAATTATTGACTTGATTAAAGCCTGCTTCAATTAGGTAAGAAGGAAGAAAAATCAATAATGTTAGTTTGGAAACAATTTTTATTTTAAGATATTTCTATCAGATGACTTTAAAATTTCAAGACTTAGTTAACTCATGCATTTTGAGTAAGATTTGTGGTTGAACATCCTCTTTCAATATGACCAACTCTTCTGGCATAGTAATATCAAGATCAGGTACACTGTGGTTTTAACATACATTTTCGTTTGTATTTATTTAATTTGATTTCTTTTTTACTCCTTGATATAACTTTATATCAATAAATAATTAATTATCGGAACTACTCTGATATGCGCCCTCAAGTCGCCAAATATTTTTGGCGAGAAACTTCACGCTGCCATATTACTATCTAAATTTTTTGTTTTACATTTCGAACTTTTTAGCCTAAAATGTCTCCAAAAACGCGGTTTCGCGGTCGCGGTTTTCGCACATGCAAAAACTACGTTTTCAACATACAATTTAGCTAAAAATCCGAAACAAAAACAAAAATTTAGATAGCAAAAAACGTAAAGTTTCTAACCAAAAATATTGACGAGAATCCATGTACACAACGACATGTTTTAACCTTAAAAAGACATCTACGAATGGCACAATGTAGGCAACGAACGAATCTACAAACTACGCACACCTCGCTTTAATAAATTAACAACAATAAATTTCAAAGAACTACCATGTTACACAGCATCCTGTTTAAACTTAAAAAAAAAAATTCTACGAATTGCACAATTTAGGCAAGGAAGGAATCTACGCACTCTCGCTTAATAAAAATAACATAACAACAATAAATTTCAAATAATACCATGTACACAGCGTTCTGTTTCAACTTTAAAAAAACATCTACGAATTGCACAGTCTAGACACTAAAACAACAAATAAACTAAAATAAATTTCAAAAAACAATTTAAAAAAAAACAACAATAACGACAGAAATTCATACTAAAGAACCAATGAACATAACATTCTACAAAATGAGAACAAGGATAAAATAAAATGCACTTACCATGAAATTAATGCGTTTTCGAATAGCAGAAATATAAATTTCATACCGCCACGTAATCACTATCGTAGTTACATGACAGCCAGCCAGACACACTATCCAGAAAATTTATACTATGGTTCATAAATAAATAAAATCACAAATCCCTACTTCTATCATGCACTGCCATTAAAAAAAAATAATCTCCCAGACCCTCTTTCCACACTTCCAAATACCCACTATCCCCTCAACAGGATAGCCACAATGATATTTCCTTTTGCCGAACTTCAATTCAACAACTAACCATTTTATCTTTCCCTCCCATCTTCTCAGACACAGAGGCGAATCAACGAGCTCCAGCGAAAGATTTTTCAACATCAACAAGGTTGCCATAGAACACGCAATCGTGCCAAAAACCAGCGCAGAACACATATCGCCACATTTGGTGAAATTAGGGCGTATATTAGAGTTGTACCTAATTATCAATTTTATTCATAAAATTTGTGTATAGTCAATGGATTCTTGATTATGGCAATCGATTACCGGTGCATATTCAGCTGAAAACCTCCCGTCAACCTCCTAATCATCATTCACCCCCTTTAAAATTTTATTTTAAAACAATACTGAAAAACCTCATTAGGAACCTTTGGTTTAAATCTTTTGTTGCATGCTATGGATCTCAATAATATAAATAAAAAATTTTTATTCTTGTAAACTTAATTTCTAAAAGAGGAAGCTCATTACAGATTGGTATGTGAATTGAATTTTACAGGATATGTCTGTTTTATTGAAGATTATGGCACTTGTCTTCTACAGCAGCCATAGCGAGACTCTTGAATTGGCACATTTCTGCATTGACAAGACCTGAATATTTATGGTTATTGATCTGCATATATGCATTTCTTGTAGTGTTACTTTTAAAATCTATTGATTTTTCATTCATGCTTGTAGTTCATATTTCTTCGGCTAGTAGAAATTCTTGATTTAAAATATAGCAGTAAATTCAGTTTTTAAATATAACAATTGTTTGTACTCTTCTATTATTGGGACGTGATACAAAAATGTATGTATATATGCATGTACATATATACACTCAAGAGCCAAAAACATTATGACCAGCCCTACATTTTGCGATGAACGCACTTGGGTGACGTGGAAGGCACGTGATCAGGTGGTAGTGGTATTTAACTGCTGCTGGAGAGTCTGAAGAATCATTCTTTCACTTACTTCTGTGTGTGATGGGAAAGGCTGCGGATCTCAGCGACTTTGATAGAGTGCAGATTGTAATGGTTCAAAGGCTTGGAACAAGTATTTCCGAAACTGCACGACTCGTGGGTTGTTCGCGATCTACAGTTGTTAGTACGTATGAAAAGTGGATGAATGATGGTGAAACCAGCAGTAGACGACATGGTATTGGACGTACACACGCTATCAAAGAGAAAGGTCGTCGGAGACTGTCTCGCATGGTGAAGCAAAACCGGAGCCAGACAGTGGCTCAGCTGGCAGCCGAATACAATGCAGGGCCAAGTATAAAAGTATTGGAGCACACTGTTCAGTGGACACTGTTGGATATGGGGCTACGCAGCAAACGTCCCACTCGTGTGCCTTTGCTGACCAAGCGTCATCGCCAATGAGCCTGCGCTGGGCCCGGGAACATCGCGACTGGTCCATGGATCAGTGGGAGAGAGTTGCAGAGTTGCCTTGTCAAATGAATCGCGGTTTGTCATTCATCATGCCGATGGCCGTGTCAGGATACGCCGTCTTCCAGGCAAACAGTTGCTCCCTCAATGCACAGTAGGTCATACACATGCCAGTGGTGGCGGTATTATGCTCTGGGAGACGTTCTCTTGGATTATGCGTCTCTGGGAGACGTTCTCTTGGGCGTCTCTGGGACCCGTGGTTGTGGTAGATCAGACCATGAATGCTACAGGGTATCTGAACATCATTGCAGACCAGTTGCACCCTTACATGGCCTCTGTTTTTCCAGCTGGAAATGGAATGTTCCAACAGAACAATGCCCCGTGTCACAAGGCTACAATTGTGTTGGAGTGGTTCCAGGAACATGATGCTGATTTCCAGTTAATGTCCTGGCCGCCTAACTCACCAGATCTCAATCCGATAGAACACATTTGAGATGTCATGGGACGGCAGCTCAGAGGTTTAAAACCACCAATTCGCAATATCTCGGATTTGCGTGACCGTTGCTATAACATCTGGTACAATCTGTCTCCGGCCATCTATCAAGGACTTGTGGCATCTATGCCAAGGCGGGTTGAAGCTGTGTTGCGTGCCAAAGGTGGCCCAACTCGTTATTGACAGGTGGTCATAATGTTTTGGCTCTTGAGTGTACATACATTCCTGAATGAGGTCCAGGTAGCAGAAGAGTATCCATTCTTTTGTGTGTACAAATTTTCCTTTTAAATTATAGCAGTTTTTCATTGCAAATATTTATCATATTTACTATTTTCAATCTACCATCAACTGAAAAAAAAAGGTATAGTTTTTTTGCAAGAAGAGCTATTTTACCAAAAGAAGGAATTTGTAAATATTGGCATAATATGCAAATATATATTGGAAACCATTTGTGATGCAGTCTCAGCAGCTGCTCAAAAAAAAAAAAAAAAAAAAAAAAAGGAAACACTTCTGCAAAGAACTCTGTAAATGTAAACACAGCCAACAATGGCAGTAATAGTTCACACCTGGTATCCCAATGAATTTGATTGTTCAGAGGTAGCAACTATTCCTTTTATATTTGATTTGATTCTTTACACTCCTAGGAGGATCATAATTTTGCTGTTGTAGCATCACACTCATTGTTAGCCTTTTTATATGTAATTTATTCTTCACTTATTCACTATTATTTTGTAATTAAGGAAGTTGCAAGAGACATATCCTTGTCTGCAGTGGTGCCTCTCAAAAGGATTATTGTCTTCATCAAAAACATGTTCACAGCAAATAACAGGGCTAATCTTTGGAAAATGGTAACAGGTAGTTTCGCAACATTTTGGTAAGGCGATAAAGGTTACTAGCTAGGACTTTAGCAGTGTACATGGATAAAGTCAAGAGTGTGCGCAATGCCATTTTTGTGCAATTCTGGGATTTTTTTTTTAAGTGAAAATAGGTCAACGTGTACATGGATGATACCGTG